CCCTTTTCCACAACAAATGGAAGAGGCGCCGTACCAGAGCGTTTTCCTGTGCGGATCTGGACCACGGCTGGAGGTAGGGATTGGGCATGGCTGTGACCCTGGAGCAGCCTCCATCCGTCACCTTGGTCCTTCTAGATCACATCTGCCTCCCTCCAACCCAGGACCTGACACATGCTTGCAAATGATTTTTTTCCCGTTGTTAGCCTTCCCGGAGTACATTTGCATTTGGTATTTAGAGATTTCTTGCAAAACTCTGAGGAGGGATAAATTCCACGAAACTGAGCACAATTTTCCTGGCCTCCGGAGGTGACCCCAGGCAGGCTGGCCAGGGGGTTATGTGGCTTAGCTGTAAGAGGAGGAGTCTGCCCTGAGGCAGGGAGGAGTTGAGACAGGTGTACCCTGAATGGGGAAAACTTAATAAGGCAGTAACTGCTGGAAGTGCAGGTGTGTTTGCATTCAGCCTTTAGCCAAACTGACCAGTGTATGCTGGAAGAACTTGAGGGGTTTTGCAGGTGATGGTCAACAGTCCTGCTTTGCAAATGGAACATGGACGCTCTCATGATGCATCCTTGAACGACAGATTACATTGCTGGAGAAGGCTGTGAGCTTGAGGTAAGGCCTAAATATTATTTTTCTTTTCTTTGAGGTATGTTATTTAATCTTTGCAAATGAATTTCTAGACTTGCTATTTTGCAGAAGCCCTTCCAAGGGGATAGCTAGAGTAAGAGTTATGTAAAAAGTGAATATAGAAAATATCGAGGTCTAATTGTTTGCCACAAAGAAAGATAGAATATATGGGAAAATGTGATTTGATGATTATTGTTCTCAAAATAAGGTTAATTTGTGCCTACAAATTATAAAAATGGCTTAAGTGCACTTGTGTTTTGAATCTATAGTCTTTGACATCAGAGGCACACAAAACTTCCCACACAACTATTGACTTATTTTAATTTTGTCCTTGTTTTTCTATTTTACATGCAACATATATTTGCTTTCTGCCTATGGTGGAGCATTCAGTGATACGCGACAGGGCTGCTTTGAAATGCACAACTTGATTTCAAGCTGTGAAAATTACCCTAGGAAAATACTCTATCTGGTGCTGTTTGGTTGCAGGAAGGAGGCTTTAAAAAATGCTATAAAAATGAATCATTCAAGTGTTTTAATAAATATCCATTGGGAATGGTTAAACAAAAAAAAATGCTCTAAGTATCACCCACATGTGGCCATTGTTGTACATTTAAAAAAAAAAAAGTTAACAGAAAAGAATGCAAAATGGCACTTTGGTTTTCTGTAACGGATGCAACGTAATGGATATTTCACTCGGAGTGAGAGTGCCTCTGAGGCTCCAGGTTTATCCCAGAGGGGCCCTTTATTCCTGTTGAACGCCTTGCCTCAAGCTGCTTTAGGCCGAGGCTCCTTAAGAGAGGGCTCCATGCCTGGGAGCACCATCCTTTTCCGGGCCGCAGTCTCTATTTGCCGCACCAGGTCAACCTCCCACCGATAGGTGACAAAACTGACCACGGTGCCGGGCGCCTTGCTGCTCACGCGCCCGACGCGCCCCGCGCGGTGCAGGTAGTCCGGCAGGCTGGCGGGGAAGTCATAGTTGACCACCAGCTCCACACTGCTCGTGTCCAGGCCCCGCGCAGCCAGGTCAGTGCACACGAGGATGTCCACCTGGCCCTTCTGGAAGGCGGCAAAGATGCCGACTCTGTCGGCTGCCGACATCTGTCCCTGCAGCCTCAGGTGCCGGATTTTGTGGTCATCCAGGATGTAGCCCAGCCAGTTGACTGTGCTGGCGTTGTTGCAGAAGACAAGGACAGCCCCGGCAGACGGCCGGCGGTCTTTGATGAGCTGCAGCAGCTCGGTCAGCTTGTCCTGGCACTTGATGCGGATGAACTTCTGCGGGACGTGGGGTGGCTGGCAGTGCAGGCTCCGCGTGGCCAGGGTGACAAAGTGTTGCACGTCAGTGAACTTCCCCAGCAACTCGCTCAGCCCCGCGGGGAAAGTGGCACCCACCACTACCACCTGGGTCCGGGCCTCGCTGGGGCCGGCAGGACCGGCGG